ACATGTTCCTAGAAAATGAATATACTCAACAATTAAGAACCTAGAACATGAGCAAGCAGATACAAGCTTAACTACGAATATACATGTGTGTTTCTGGGAACTTGAAATCAATTCTACGTGTTTATAAGAAAATAAAACACTTAGTTTATAATTCAATTCTATATTTGACTTATATTAAAAAAAAATTGCAAACTAATTAAAACATTGAAAATTAATAAATAAATAACTAAAGTTAAGTTTTTTGACTTTTTTTTAATCGAAGAGGTTGGGCCAATTTTCAGTTCATATTTTCACAAATTGAACCGACTTATTTTTTTATCAATATTTTATAATACACATTTGTTATATATATATTTTTATTTAATCATGCTTATTAACATCGATATTTTATACGCTTTTTTTTGTGTGTGTATCCAAACGACGTAGCAGAACTTATATATATTCTTTTATTTCCATTCCATATGTGTTGTAAGATAACTAATTGATTGATTAACATATTATATTTTTTTTAAAAATAATGTTCAATATTTAAAGCGTAATAGGAAATAAAATCTCAGTAAAATAATATTAGAAGATGTTCTGAAAATAATTTTCTGTGCACCGCTCAAGCTAACTATATAACTTTATCTATCTTTCGATGTGTTTCCAAACATGCATTAATTTTAAATTTAAGATGATATTTTTGAGAAAAACTATTACAATAGTTAATCATAATATTCACAATAAATATTTTTTATCAAAAAAAATTTCTTTAGACTTGAATATATATGAAAATAAAACACGTAAAAAGTTTCATGCGTGTTTAACTTTATCCAAGGTTATCTTTATGTGTAGCTTATAAATTGATTTTTAATATTTTAATCAAATTATCAATAAATAATATTATTCTACTTTATTTTTATCTTATGGCAGGTTGATATTGTTGAACTTACAACTACTATTGAAAAGATTGAAGGCTTTATTGTACTTGTTGAAAGTTTTGCCTTTACAGATTTAAAATATTAAGGTAAGTCTTTAAAGAATTTCCTTTTTTATTTTATTATTTGATGTATGAAAAGTATAGATAAACAACAATTTTTTTAAAACCATGCATTTATGTCATTAGATGTTAACATTGATGTAACTATTATCAATGATTAATATGATAGATCAAGAAAAAATGGATCGAAAATGGATGTCTGCTAGTCGATTGTCAAAAGAATATGAAGATGGGGTGAAAGAGTTTCGTAGATTTGCAGTTGAGCATGCAAAAGATCCTAGTAGAATTATTTGCCCTTGCTTGAAGTGTTGTCATTCAAAGTTAGTTAATGCGGATGTGTTGGAAGAACATTTAGTATGTAATGGAATTGATAAAAGTTATTCATGTTGGACAAAACATGGTGAAACTAGAAACATGGATGTTGACCTTGATTTACAAGATAGTGTCAATTATGCACCAAGCGAGCCCGACACAACATATGAGTTTGACCAAGTTGAAGAGATTGTAAATGTTGTTGAAGAGGATCTTCGTGATTGTCCTGAGATGTTTGACAGATTGGCAAGTGATGCAAATACATCATTATATGATGGTTGTACTAAGTTCACAAGACTATCAGCAGTGTTAAAGCTACTCAAATTAAAAGCAGGAAATGGATGGTCTGATAAGAGTTTCACAGAATTACTAACTCTTTTAAAAGATATGTTGCCAAAAGATAATGTACTTCCTAATCGGATGTACGAGGCTAAAAAAATGTTAAGCTCCATTGGCATGAGTTATCAGAAGATACATGCTTGTCCTAATGATTGCATTCTTTTTCGAAATGAATACGCATCGCTAGATAAATGTCCTAAATGTAACGTCTTGCGTTATAAGAAAAATAAAGTGCCAACCAAAGTGGTATGGTACTTTCCTATAATACCAAGATTCAGGCGCATGTATCGTAGTGTAAAAGATGCAAAGGTATGGTACTTTCATATAATACCAAGATTCAGGCGCATGTATCGTAGTGTAAAAGATGCAAAGATAGAGACATCGTTCAAATAGAGATATCGGATTACTAACTCTATTTGCATATACATAGGTAGTGCTTTTTTAGAAGCGCTATCTATTAATAGACATCGTTCAAATAGAGAGCGCTTTTTAAGCGCTGTCTATCATTAAAATAAGCGGCATCTATTAATGTTTTTGACGTAGTGACTTCTGTATCAATTATTATTGAATATTTTAGCACTTTGTTTAATTGTTGCATCTTTTTTTACCATTTCTTTCTGTGGTGCCCCTTTTACTCAAATGCTCTATGAGTCTGTTTAGTTAATATATTTATTATTGTATACCATGGTTCAAATAGAGATATCGGATTACTAACTCTATTTGCATATACATAGGTAGTGCTTTTTTAGAAGCGCTATCTATTAATAGACATCGTTCAAATAGAGAGCGCTTTTTAAGCGCTGTCTATCATTAAAATAAGCGGCATCTATTAATGTTTTTGACGTAGTGACTTCTGTATCAATTATTATTGAATATTTTAGCACTTTGTTTAATTGTTGCATCTTTTTTTACCATTTCTTTCTGTGGTGCCCCTTTTACTCAAATGCTCTATGAGTCTGTTTAGTTAATATATTTATTATTGTATACCATGGACTTAGTGCCTTCTTATGAATACCCTGTTTTGTCTTCTTTTAAAATGGAATTCAAAGTTATAGCTTTATTAGAGTAGTTATTGTATCTGATAACCTCTAATTCAGGAAACTAACTGGAACTCAATAATTAGATTTTGAAATTATACTATGAATGAAATATATTTATACAGGTAACCCAGAAAGAATCAAAAAAATAATTGATTATTATTATTTTTTTAAAATGCAATCTACATCGGTTTAAAGTAGAACCGATGTAGATTTCAACGCAAATTTACATCGGTTTTCTGACAACCGATGTAGATTTGAACGCAAATTTACATCGGCTTATTCTACATCGATTTTATAATCGATGTAAATTACCTTCCAGAACCGATGTAGAACAGTGCTTTTGGCTTCCACCATCTACCACTGCCATTAACAACATTGCTTGTAGTTTTGATACCACCCCCTCCCAAAAGGTACAATCATAATCAAGTTCAGCATAAGAAATGATTTTTTTTTTATAATTTTATTATTTGCATTGTTCTACAGGCAGTTGCATGGATTGTGCTGGCAATATTCTCACTCATAAGGCTTCAAGCTGATTATCTGCTTGTTGTAGGAGTTTGTCTGACCCTCAGCATTGCAAATATTGTTGGTTTTACCAAGTGCAAAAAAGGTGCGCAAGTTTATTGATAATATTGTTAAAATGTATGTTCCCTAAAGTTGTTTGAAATGAGTATACTGACTAAATAACTCATGTTTAGAGTCCATCTTTTATCTGTCAAATTGCAATTTATGATATTTTTTTGCCAATTCCCTGCTGGAAAAAAGGGCAAATTTGAAGGTATTATTGTTATTATAACTAGAAATAATTGTAGGGTGTTGGTTAAGTAACGAGAAGCACCATTTTGGACATAGTTTGTGAAAAGGAATAACTCCTTGTAGTAGTACCCTGTTTTGGTGTGATTGGGAACTCTGGGTCGTGTTTTTTTTTTGTTATATCAATATTTTCTGCATTGCATCTGGTTTAATTGATCGTACTCCCGTGAATGCATGTTTGAGTTCGAATAATTTGGATGTTTGTGAAACATACATGCCTTAGAAGTTAGGAGTTTCTTCAAGGTTAGTTCTACTCCATATCTTGAGAATAGTGGTTCTATTAGCTCTGTCCTTCTGTGTGTCCTCTTCCCACCCAACAGGAAGGATTTTTCTTCGTACTCCAAATGAATATCAATATACCATAGAAGCTTTAATGGAAAAACTCGCAATGGCTAAAACTGATTGGTTGTTTTTCAGATGCCAAGAAGCAGATTCAACAATTTGCCTCTCAGACAATTGCCTCTCGGTTCTCGTCTACCCTCCAGTCAGCATTCAGTGTCGTCTGATTGTCAAAAATGGAAATGCAAGTTGAACCGTGCATTATTGAGATGCGGTGGAAGGTTGTACATGATTATTTCGGCTAGCATCGGATTGGATTCATTGAACTTGCATAGTGACTAATACAACAACTGCAAAATTTTGTACTTTTTATATGAAATGGCTTGAATGAGACTTTGACGATCGAATTGCATAGTAGAACAGTTGTTTTTAGTTGTAAATCTTTTTTTCTTGTATTCTTTTTGCATCGAAGGGCTACGATTCATATTATGTATGACTGTATCAATTGCAACAAATCTTTACAGCATATGATCAGGATATTGACTCATGGAAATTGTCAAATTGAAGGATAATTATAAAAGACGATGTGGTGATATTGACTCATGCAAATTGAAGGATAATAATAAACGACGATGTTGCATCATCACGAGTAACCGGTCATAATTGTCTCAATGACCAAAACATTGCGAAATCCATTACTGCACTTTCAAAAAAAAAACCTATATTTTACTAGTAACGTAGTGACTTCTGTATCAATTATTATTGAATATTTTAGCACTTTGTTTAATTGTTGCATCTTTTTTTACCATTTCTTTCTGTGGTGCCCCTTTTACTCAAATGCTCTATGAGTCTGTTTAGTTAATATAAGAGTAGTACATGGATGGGTGACCTTCTAGGAAGTTTCCCAGAAATTGCACAAGTAAGGATAAAACATGCTAAACAGTGAAATATCGTGAAATAGAACCCTTGAGAGGCCAAATATGAGGATTGTTACATTAATAAATTTATTAAAATTAAAAAAAATTATAATTTTCGACATTTCTGATAGAAATTTCTGACGGATTTTCCGACGGATATTTTTGTCAGAAATTTCCGAAGGAATTTTCTGTCAGAAATTTTCGTCGAAAAAATTATTTCCGAAGAATTTTTTTTTTCCGACGGATTAAAATCCGTCAAAAATCCGTCGAAAAAAGAAAAATCCATCGAAAATTTACCTGTTTCCGTCGAAAATCAACATTTTTCTTGTAGTTACGTCAAAGTGGGTACCACATGACGTGTCGAAGGAATAAAAAACACGTGGGATAAGCAGTTACAAGAAGTTACACGTGGGATAAGCAGTTACGAGAAGTTACACATGATTTATGGAAGTTTTGTAGTGGATAGCAGTTATACGTCCCACGATGAGCCTTCACGAGGATAACCGCTCCCAATCACCCCTATAAATATGAGAAGCAAATTATTTCGCAAGGGTAAAAAAAAATCATACTTGCACTCTCAAGCACTCACCGCCTACATATATGGCTTCTGTGCATGGAACTGCTGGGTATGACAACCTCTTGACCATGTTTTCTTTCTTTCTTTTCCTAGGATTAGTTTAGTTTCATTTAAATCCGTAGTTCGTAGTTTGTTATTCTTAAAATCATTACATTGTAACTCAATAATTATGTGAACCGGATCATGATTTGTATTGCCAATATATATGTTGTTCACTCATTAATGTATTTGAATGTCTACACGCATGAGAACTGTTTTATGATAACTATTGATGAATATCTAGAAATCGGTGCATGTTGATCTCAGTTATTTAGCATAGTTGTCACGTTAGACATTTGTTGTCATGCTAAACATTTTGACATATTAGAATTATACGTACCTAAATTGAAAAGAGGACACTTTTGTTAGTTTAAATAAAAAGAATTCATAAACGAACTTTCACCACAAACAATCAATAAAATTTTAAGTTATATAAAATCTTATAATTTATTTTGGTACACTACAAAATCTTATAAATTTGATTAATCTAATTAATTAAAATTTTCAATTCAATAAATTAATAAAATTTAATTTTCTTCACAAATTTTTATTTTTATTTTTATGTTACAAGTATTTCTAATCCGATAAGTGAGAGACTAATCTCATTTGACTATGATGATTGTTATTTTTGCAGAAACTCGGAATCAAGCACGGAAATGACCACTAAATAGATTTCACACGCAACGTGTAATCATATGTGAGTAACTACTTCAAAAATTGGTACAGTATATACTAGTTTGGAAGCTTGTGGTATGAAAAAGTTATGAATTACGTGGAATTCATGACAGGATTCACATGGTTGGTAATTCATAAATCAGTTCGTTCACATTGAATTCATAACATCAGAACATCATCAAAAGTTTAATGAAGGGTATAATTTCTGCAACTTTTGGGGTAATGTTTGCGCCATTATTTGCGGCATTATGAGTGCGTAGTAGTACGCGACGTGAATCAGAGGTCTTGACTTTGACTTTTTTGGCATTTTTCTTTTTTCATAGTAATTAAACTCGATATTTTTACAACAATTCATACGTTATCAACTTAGTTAAACGGTGAATAAGTCTCTTAATTCAGTGACCGAAAAATCTGTTCTGGGATAAAAAAGATTCATGATGCTTCTAAATTTGATTATAGTGTATATAATTAAAATAATCTTTGATCAATCAAAATTATATTTGTACATATGGATTACTTCTTAGTTATCAACTTTAAAATAGTGTATAAATTATATATATATATATCAACTTTTACTGTTTTATGTAAACTTCATTAATTCATCATCATCCACAAAAATAAAGAGAACCAAGATTACAACTTATTAGGAAGACTCTGTGGAATCAAGACTTGCTACACCTTTTCCATTGCTCATTAGTCATTAATTAACTTTCCCGGCCCCTTTAATTTTTTATATTTTCCTTTTGATTTCTTTCTCTCAAACTTATTGGTCCAGCTAGCCCTGATTAACTTCATTGGAGAAAAGAACTTTTCTCGAATGTGTAATATCTTATCAGAGGACTCGAATGTCTGTATACGCAAAAGAAAACAAAAATAAAAGCAAAAGGTAAAAGGTAAAAGAAAAAGAACTTTTGTGCAATATGTGCGTGTCGCACGGGTAAGTTATATATCTGTCAGGTCAACAAGTTCTTTAGGAGGAAATAGAACAAGAAACTTTATATAACATATTAAAGAAAAAGTTATCATATAAATAATAGTTGTGAAGTTAACACGTTGTTTACTTTTTTAATTTATATATACAAAGCAACAGGATCGATGAAATAATTATTACATATAAATAGTTAACATCAATATGATGAATAGTTGAAAATTTAATACAAAAGAATTTTTTTTAATAGTCTACTTATTAATTACATGTATCTATTAGTTTTTCTAATATGACTTTTGTTAACTATATTTATAGTATTTCATAATATTTATCTAATTCACTTTGTTAGCTAGATATTAATGAAATATTATATATATATATATATATATATATATATATATTTA